CAAGTTTTGAAGCAAGAGTGGGCGAAAAATCCCACAATCTAAAATTGACGAGATGATTCTCCCGATGCCCCAAAGGATCAATGAACTCCACAAAGCGAAAGGAAGATCTACTAGATATTAATTAAATTATGAATATATCAATTCATGGGAATATGACTGAAAATTTTCATTTTTTCTGAAAAGGATGTGTCTATTCACTTGTGACCACGGTGTGTATATCTTCACAGATACGGGGTCTGTACAACTGATCAATGATGTTAACATAGGGTTATAACACACAGACAAGACAAATTAATACACAAATTCAAAACTACAAGTATTCCAAACCATTAACACGGTGACTCTAGGCATTAATTCTTCACATCTTTTAATCTACTGTGTTTTCACAACTTTTAACACATATAATGTAGGAACTAAAAGTTTTCACATCATATAAAACATTAACTATAGTAGCTAAGCCTTTTCACATTCCTTAACATTATGACTAGGAACCAAAAGTTTTCCTTAAATAAAATCAAAATACTTACTTTCTATACCTGTAACATATCGAATATTACTTAACAAGTGACTACATTGTTTAACATAGTAACTGTAGGAATTAAGAAGGTTTACAGTGAGACATGCATATCAAATACTTAATGTTGATTCAAGTTACAATTTCAAAATGTACTCTCACTTTTCTTTCAGTTACAAACGAAAAAAAAAATACTTTTTTAAGTGCTTTGTTCCATAACTTGTTAGATTAACTCCTATCAACAAGATCTGTGTGCTTAGCTACAGAAATTGTTGGGGGAAGACTCACAAAAATTAAAAAAGAAGCAATCTAATCAACAGATGTCAGACTGATTAATGTTTTCTTATTCTTACACTTTACAAAATAATCTGGAAGATATGTTTATTCTAATAAACTGATTTTCTGTCCTATAGAATTTTTATTAAGAGATCAGAAACAAACTGAAACATTATCATTTAATATTTCTCTATGAATGTTCTGAGGATAAAAAAGAATGAACCAACTATATGGACTTTCTTACAAAACTTACCTATTTCTTATTTTCTCCAAATATAAAAAATACACATTATTGAAACTCACATTCATTTTTGTAAGTTGCAAAATGTCAATATTTTTACATAATGAATGAAGAAGAAGAAGATGAATAAAAATTAAAAACAAAGAGAATGTATTACAAGAATACTTACATTTTGTGATTATTATTGTTGTTACCAAGAGGATCCTTTTTAGCTCCTAGTGCTGCCAGTAATTCTGTTATATCAATTTGACTGAGAATACTGTCTCCTACTTTTATTATTTCTTGTAAGTTACTTTGTCTTTCAGCCTGTAACAATGACAAAAACTCACATATTTAGTTTGGTGCAGGTTTTATTTAAAATAATTACTTGAATATTATTCTTTATTATAAATCTAGCCAGACTAATGAGAACTGTTTTTTCATTTTGATTAAGTGCAAAGCTGCATAATGGACCGTTATATGCACACAACTGTTTCAGTTTAAGTTTAATGTGAGCATTATGATTCAGAGAGTTAATATAGTTTATATTTAGTTATTTTAAGAAGTGATATTTTATGCTAAGTTTGTTTATGTAACTGTTTACGAATCATAGGTTGTGTAGTTCAACTGTTATGAATTAGTGATTAGTTTACAATAGTGAGATTATTGAGTCCTGTTGCTAGAACTTTCCAAGTTTCTTATTGGTTTAATTGAGTATTATTGCATCAGAATATCTAGTATTGTATGGAATGTTCTAGACTTCTATTGGGGTATAAATATGCATTGAAAAATAATTTTTTAGCTTTAGTTACAGACTGCATGATTCTAAGTTTAGTGTTAAAGAGTGTATAGTAGCAATTTTTAAAGTGAAATTATCACAGACTGTATTGTAATAACAGAGCAGAGAAGAACAATTTGTTATGTTAATTGTCTTCTAAAGTAAATGAACCAGCCTGTGTGGACTTTGACAAAAAAGAGAATTATTTAAAGCTCTGGATACAACTGTGGTAACCAATAATGCAAAAAAGATTTGTATATACATTTGATGTGTTTTTAATATATTATTCTAAAACATGTAGACTGTGTTGCTGTTTGTTTATAGTTGAAATTCATTGCCAACAAGTCATAGACACCTACTGTAAAGAATCTGACTTTAGAAAATCTGACATGAGCTATCTGCCCTGTGCCTGCTGTAGGGATTAAACCCCAAATTTTAGGGTAATAAATTCTCAGACTTACTGCTGAGTCACCTGGAAGTGATAAGAAATTATATAACTCCAAACTGATATATGGTATTTTTTACACAATATTAGTAAATATGTTTCACATCAAAATATATATTTAATATTTTTTAACCCTTTCGCAATGGGCTCGGTATAAAATACACAAGTTCGTAGACACATTTGCACATGTTAAGTATTTATACTATAACTTTTAATGCTGTATGTGTATCCTCATAAAATTTGGTAAACTTTTAGTAATGACTCCAAGTCTTTTGTACACCAAAAATCTGATTTTTTAATGAAGTATTTTTATTAAAGATTTGTTTGTGAAAATATCGAGTTATC